ACAACTCGTAGGACAGCAAGTGAACAGTGCTGCTGCTTCTTTCCTCCTCCCTCTCGCATTTTAGCTTCTGCCCAAAGGAGGACGAATGTGTGAATGAAGAAAAGCAAAGAATGGCTTTGCTAATGTAAGGAAAAAAACCAATTCCGTGGCTAGGAAATTCCAAACTACAAAGATGAGTCTTGAAGTGAAGATTAAAGCAGAGATTAAGCTGAGGAAGTAGAAGGCAATTCCAGAGATGAGGGCAGTGAACGGAAAATGCTTTGCATCCAGTTCCTTTCAAATAAATCTGGATACCAGCGGCAGGAAACATGTAGCTGATCCTAATGTTTGTAGTGGTTTAGAGGAAGAAGTATGTATACTGAGTACTTAATATGTAAGAATCTAGAACTGAAGGGAGATAGGATAATTAAAACGAGATGAGCACGTTTATCTGACCAAGTCAATACGGGCTGTTGAATCATGAAATAAGGATTGAACTGTAATCGTCTACTCTGTCAACTTCTGGATATCGGATATTCTAACCAGCAGAAGGTTTTCACTCTCTCTGATCACCACGTACCAGTCACCTTCAGGGGATAACGTCGCACAGATGGCTGAGAGGCTGGCTCGTGGACACGGCAAGTACAGGACAGAGCAGGCAGGCCAGACGCCCGTGTGTCCTCTGAGAGATGCCTGCTGCGTCCCAGCACCTGGCATCGCGGGTGCGCGGAGGCTGGCCTCATCACCAAGAACGCCGGCGCTTGGCGAGGCGGCCAGACGCCTCTGGCTCTGCCCCCCACGTGCAGCCTCTGCAGCACTCCCGCTACCTCAACACTTGCTGTTTATTTTTTCCTTTGTTCACTGACAACTCAGGAGCTCTCTGTAGCTTCACCCTATTGCTGTTCTCTTTTCATAGAATGTAAAATCGTTTTGTTGTTCTCTCTCCAATGTTAGATGTCACTTTTAAACTAGTTTTAATACTATGATGAATGGGTTTTCCCAGCTGCTCCAGAACTGGTGGCCCAGGCCCAACGCCGGGGACAAAGGAGAGCTCAGCAGGTCACATTCTAGAGAGCCCACAAGGGGGGTGGGGGCGGGCAGAGAAGGCACCACCGTCCACCAGGCCAGCCCCTCACAGCTCATGCCTTTTCTGGGTTGCGACTGGTGTGCGGTGATGCTAAGTCTGGCAGAAGGAGTCTTGACGTCACGGGGAGCAGACAGTCATGCACAAGGGGGGCCCCTGTGCTCAGTGAGAGAGGCTCAAAGAGGATTCAGCCCTAAATCCTAGAGTCTTCAATCTTGAAGACGGGGTTTGAGTAGAAGAAAAGGAAACAGGCTTCTCCTTCCTTTGTTTGGTACCTACTCAGGCATCGGACTTGTTGGTTTGCCTTGTGCTTATCTGAGGAGGAGAAAGGACACCTAGAGACAGAGAGCAGGATGGACAGAGGAGCACGTGGCAGCCGACACGCTCTCTTCAGCCCAGCAAGGAGCAGCCAGGTCTGAGTCTTCCGGGCACTGCTCACCCCTTGGGGGTCAACGCTGGCCAGAGAAGCAGCATCAAAGGGCTGCAATGGCATCAGAGGACCCCAACGCCAAAGGAAGAGGGAGAAAGGCATGAAGAGGACAGAACCTGTCCCTTCCTGCTGCAGGCCCCTCTTGGGGGCGGAGGCAGGCAAGAGAAGATGAAGCGAGTTCTGCTCTGATGCCTCATCTGCCTTCTGAGGTCAGAGAGTAAAGTGGTCTTTTCTAGAGCTGAACATACACATGGAATCACACAGCACGTACTCCTCTACATCTGAACAGTGTCTCACCACAGGAGGACGCCACTGTTTGCTTGTTCACTCACTTCTCATAGCAGCCAGCCTTCCAGGCCGCCTGCACTGGTCCCCCCACGTTGTAGGTGGCTGGTGCACGTGCAACAGGACAAGGGGAAGTGATGGTGTGCCCCTTCCGAGACAGGTTATAAGGACATCGTGGCTTCCATCTTGGCTGCTCTCTTCCCCTCCCCTGGATCATGTGCTTAGGGGAAACCAGCCCCATGTCCTAAGTAACCCCATGGAGAAGCCTAAAAGGTACAGAGCCCCGGGCCATGTGAGTGAGCCCTGTTGCCCCGGCCAAGCGTCAGGTAACTGCAGGCCTGGCCAGGAGCCTGACTGCAAACTCATGGGGACCTGAGCGAGAACGACCAGCTTGGGCCGGTGTCCTGGGCCTGCTCAGCGGCTGTCAGAACCCTTAGTTCCACCTGATGAAGCAACAAGTCAGGGGAGAAGTATCACGCAGGCACCCTGTGTGTCACAGGCAGCTCCCTGGAGACTAACCAACTGGTAACAGGAGAGCGGGCAGAACGTAGTAAAAGACAATCACTGAAAGCAAGATTCACTTAATTCAGATATTTTTTCATACCGGACCTACTGAAATACTTGGGGCAGCAGTGAAGTCCCCCCTTTTCCATCAGGGACTTAGGGATTAGGGAAATTAAGCGGTCTTATGAGGCTAAAGAAGTAAAATACAGAAAACACAACAGAAAACGAAGCAAGTCTGTGCAAATGCTTGTCTGAAGAGGACAGGATCCCCCCACTGCCGCCAGGACCACCCGGGGGTCACGCAAGGAAGGAGAGCGGGGACCGCTGGGAAAAGACTGCAGGGACAGGAGGGCATGTTTCGTCTGGGACAGTGAAACAGAAGGCCAGAGACCCTGTGAGCAGGCTCGGCCAGGTGAGCAGGTGACAGCACGTCTGTCTGACAATCAGCTCACTTCCCCAGTGACAGACACGTTTCCACAGAACGTGCACCAGGAGACCTCAGCTCATGACACAGCTCTGCACGGACACACTGCTCGTCTCAAGATCTGGGTCCTGTCTGAAGACACTGACTGATTCTCACTAACTGCTCCCGAATGGAACAGGAGACGGCACCCACCTCCTAGCTGGGAGGATGACGCGCAGACCCAGGCAGCCCACCCGAGTTTTCTGCACCCGCGACACAAGCACAGATGCATCGTTTGCGACCCCTCCAGCCTCCTCAGTCCGCTGAGCTAGCCTTATCCATTCATAATTCTCCTGCTGAACATAACGGAAACTGATAATCTGTTCAGAAAATGGGAAATGAGGACCAATTAGAATCAGTTACAGCTCTTAAAATGAGACAGGTTGAGCAATGTGAGCTGGGGGACAAACCGCTGATCAATTTTTTTGCTCCGTTTTCTTCTGTGATATGAAAGAAGTCTATCTCTCTCTCTCTTTCTTTTTTTTTGTCAAGCTAGGTGACCTGAAAATGTTTATGTGGCAGAATTCCCACAAATGATGGATAAAGTGGTTGAACTTGCAATAAAGGGAGGCCCCCAGAGCACCTTTGTTTTGCTTTCCCTTGTGTCACTGGCACCCAGGAGAGGGTGAAAGCTCATAGTGAATTCCATCTCTTAAAGGGATGAACGTCCAGGGGTACCAGAGCTTAAGTGGGTAAAAGTTTTCTTTCACTTGCAAATGAGCACTGGGTTGTTTTTTGCTGGTCATCTATCTATCTTGCAGTAGGGAACATCTTCTGGTGTTTTCTCATCAAAGTCAGCCACATAAGGTCTATTTATAAGCAGTTTTATTAGTCTTTAAAATAGAGAAAATATCTTTATTGTGTAAATAGTGATTCTTGTTTATTTGAACATTAAATATGATGCTAAGACTTCCCTGGTGGCGCAGCAGTTAAGAATCCGCCTGCCAATGCAGGGGACATGGGTTCCATCCCTGGTGCGGGAGGATCCCACATGCTGTGGAGCAACTAAGTTCATGCGCCACAACTATTGAGCCCTCATGCCTAGAGCTGGTGCTCCGCAACAAGAGAAGCCACCGCACCGCAACGAAGAGTAGCCCCCCCCCTCGCCGCAACTAGAGAAAGCCTGCGCACAGCAACAAAGACCCAACACAGCCAAAAATAAATAAATGAAAAATGATGCTATCAATTGATGACTGATCCTCTAAAGTAGAAAAAAAGAAACTCCTTCACTTGAAAACTCTTTCCTACTCTGATTACTTCAGGCAGAAGGGAAAATGTGGGCAGCCCAAACGTACAGAAAAGTGGCGGAGGATGAAGGGGATGACCCGGAAGGCAGGAGGTGGACACTCGTGTAGAACAGGAATGCCGGGAACAGCATTGAAGATGGAGAGGACGCAGACTCTGAAATTCAGCTTTCTCCTTATCTTCAAAGGGGAAAAAGATCTGCCCCAGTTTTAAAATTGTGGCAAAGTATACACAACATAAAATTTACCATTTTAACCATTTTTAAGTGTGCAGTTCTGTCCATTAAGTATATTTACATTGTTGTGCAACCATCATCAAGGAGGAAATTTCTAGCTTTTATTTTCACAGATGAAAGGCCTCACGTTAGTATTAAGCATTAAATTTGGGGAAGGTTTTGGGTGGAAAAGAAAAGGGCAAAACTTTGCTCTTACCATCAGAGCTTACCCAGCCTTGAATAACAGGAAATCACTTAAATGAAAATACCCTTAGTGCCTTCTGTAGCGGGAATCTGACTGGACGTAAGGGATAAGACTTTTCACCCGCTGGTGGTATGGGCACACCACCACCAGCTCCACACCACTGCTGCCTGCCCTTACATGCGGCCTCTGCCCCTGGAGGTACCACTGAGGACCCCAACAGCCCTTGCAGATACCCCACAGCACTTGCCAAGGACCACGCAGTTGTCAGTGCTGTGGACGACCCCTGCGGCCTGACCCCAAGAGACATGCAAACCCCCCCCCAAGAAAACCTTTTTCATTTCAAATGGGCAGAATTTCACTAATTTCATCCAGCCATTGCAAAAGTTAAAAAAGTTCTCCTAAGACGTGTGACACCTTCTAAACCAGTCCTCTGACCAAGAATGCTCTGTGCTTCCTAGACAAAGCAGAGATTTGAAGGCTGAAGTCTCTGCTGGTGAAGATCAATTAGATAAAGACCAGACATCTGGCCCGAGGTGGGAGACCTGAGTGCATGAGCCGCGGGCAGCCTCCCCCCAGCCCCACCAGTCATACCTGCTGCTTGAGCTGCTGCACGAGCCGGTCCTTCTCCCGCTTCAGGGCAGCCACTTCTTCCTGGGTCTTTTTCTTCGAGGATGAAAGCTCCAAAAGAGCTATATTGGCATCTTTTTCACTGATGGCGGCCAGAAGGGCTTCCTGCCTGCAAACGAAAGAAAACATCCCGATTTCCATCTAGTCCTCACAGCAATCCTCAAGTTACTAGTACCATTACCTCCATTTTATGGGTGGTGAAACTAAGGCTTAGAGAGCGTATGCAGCTGCCCAAGTTCACACTTGAAGCAAACGGTCCGGGCAGGAATCCCATTCAGGGCTTCTTGACTCTAAATGTCTTTATCAGGTTGTTATACTGACATCTTAATGAAGAGTTCCTAGATCTAGTTGTAGTTAAACTTGGACAGTAAACGAAGTTAATGACTTTTTTTTTAAAGTAAGAATTATCCTGTCATCTATACATTTTACCCATTTGACTCATTCTTTTGATAAGTATTCTGTGGTTTCCAGGCAAACGAGGCACCACTAAAACTGAAAACATTTTTATGTACAGAATGTGTAACGAACTGTAAACGTTAGTAAATAGGATTCAGGAAATCAGCCAGCTGCTCCCGGGGGCACTCTGAACATCTATGAATCTTTTTATCTCATCAATGCAAATACGTTTCCAGTCAAGGCTTTCCTTGGCAATGATCTGCACATTTTGAAACAACAATTTAAACTTCACTGATTCCTTGTGGTTTACCTAACAACTATTTTTGGGTTCATATCCAGAAGGAAAAGAAGGTGGGATTTTAGGGGAGGGGCGTTGAACTGAGAAATTGACAAAATAGTCAGAATGAAGTTGGTGAACAATTAGTCTCATAGTCCAAATGCATTCCTCTATAGCTCATCTTTTACGTAATAAGTCATCTGGAAGAAGACAGATCTGATTTACAGAACTATAAAAGTGGCCTGAGCTTTTGACCTGAGGAAATGCTGGATCTGAGAACGCACTGCCCAAGTTTAACCTTGCTTCTGTCTCTTGTTAAGATAATTACGCTTCAACAGCCGTCACATGGAAGAGTTTTAGTTTAGCCACAAACTGGAAGACTATCTCTTGCACATTCTGACAAGGATATTCCATACTCAGATGGGTAGGTCTGGGGAACCCTGAACAAGCAGTGCTAACAAATGGAAGACGTAGATCAGTTTACATCATGGAAATGAGGATTTGTTTAACTAGTCTTCGCTGTTGGAAGGGAAGATTCGTTGACCTCAGTATAACTTTCCACTGTCCTCACTCTACATGAGTCTAAGCAATGGCAGATGGCTTATCCCATGAAGTCAACACCAAAGGGATAACGACAGTCTAAATATATCCACTGACCACTTGAAAAAAATATGTTAAGTGGTGAAATGAGCTTAAAGGTGAAGGAGTTCAAGATGGTCTCACTCTGCGGTTTCCTGTTAATTGCTGTCATCTGTTCCCTTTTGGGGAGCCCAGAGACTGACAAGCTGGGACGAGAAATGTGCCTTCTCAATAAGGGGGCTGCATTTCTGTGCATCAATAGTCAGAATGACACATTTAGCGGCAGGCAAATAACAGACGACGAATGAAAGATAAATTACTCTGTCCAGTTAGACCGAGTCATGAGAACTTCTGCCGAATGCAAGATAAAAGGCGATAGGATCTGAGTTCCATTCTGTACTTAAGGAAAGAAGCGTCATAATACGAAATGGTAAAAATGATCCTATACTGTTGAAACATCTTGACTGAATTCCAAATTCTTTTATAAATGATATGCTTGGCCAGCTAGTGTGGTACAGTTAATCTCTGGGGTAAAATGTCACATTCCCCAAATGCAATATGATATAACAGGTGCCAATTCATATTCTAAATTTTAAAATAAAGGATGTGGCACTGGAGTCTGAGCCATTGGAATGGTGCCTTTTTTAATAAGATATATATTTTGAAGTCTTTTTTTCTTTTTCTGTACGATTCAAATAGAAATTTTATTATGTCATTGATGCTATTTACTTTTTATTGAGCACTGATAATATATTATGAACTGCACAGAATCAAATTTCCTCTCCCACACCCAAGGCTCTCACCCTCTAAAAATTCCCTAGCGGATTAACATAACACTGTCCTTTCCATTTTAAAACTGTACTCTCGATATTGACTTCTACATGTGTATGCGCCTATAAAGGGCAAGTCACAGTCAAGAGAATGAAATGTCTTGATTACATATTGCACATATGATCATGTAAACTCTGGGTAATGTTAGTATCTTTTGTGGGTTTATTAGCTTTCAGGTTTTTCTCTTGTTTTTGGAAGGGGACAGAGATTGTACTGTTTTCCCTATAATTTTGGTAAATTTGAAACGGACACCATGGGAAGAACAACTTCTTGAAAACAGTTTGGAGGACAGGAACGAAAATAACGCTGGTAAGTAGTAACAGCCGTCTACTTTATGGGGAATAAGAAAAACTCTTGTTCCCTCAATACATGTGGTAGCAAAGACCATATTTGTAGTTGAGCTTACGTGGTTAAGCTTTACAAAGAACATTCAAGTGTCTAAGCTAAGAAATTCTAAGAATACCCTGCCTTTCAGAGGGAGTGGAATCTGGAGCAAAAAGCAAACAGCAAAAAGGACTTTATTTTAGTAGCCACCTGTTCTTAATACAACTGCTTCTTTGAAAAACAGGTATTTTCTGATAACAAAGTAATGTTCATTCATTGCTGAAAAATGGCAAGATACAGAAAACTGTGAAGAAGGAAATAAAAATACCTGCAATAATGCCTTTCTAATCAGAGTCAATTACTTGAGAGCTGAAAGGCAGCTACTCTAACACTAATACGGCTCTTTCAAAGAGAATGAACCTTCCTGGGGATTAATAATCAACTTCAAAAGCTTTACTAATCCGAGGTTCTCCACAGAAGAGGAACACTTGCTGGTGGAACACTTCCTGACTTCACTTCCCATAAGCCCACAGGGAGTAACACCAGCACATGAAACACAAAAGGGAACACACATAGGCCACAAGCCCAGACAAAAGAAGAACTAAGATGCTCTTCCTGCCAAATCACTCTCCTTGTTCTCTTAGTGGCTTTTCCTCAGTTAAAAATAAAAAAAAATGAAAATGTGCACACAGAACCTTTCAAAGTGATTAGTAATTCCCTACTGCATGACTAACAGGCCCCCTGACTTGCATAATGAGTAGGTAGTAACAGAAATCCAACTTTAAGTCATTAGTCTAGTCACACCATCCCTGGTGCTGTAAACTACCAGAACAGTTGAACCTGCCCTTTGACCTGCAAATTCTAATAGAATCAAGATGTCTCTAAAAGTTCTGCTGTGGCATTTGAGCTTCAAGAAATGGTAAGACCACCTTCTCTGTCCCCCTCCCCCTTCCAGCAAATTTCAGAAACAAGAGGCAAATACCCAAGGCAAGTGGAGCTCAAAGTTCTGCTGGTAACTCCTGAATCCTTAAGGACAACACACGAGCCCTCTCTTACTAGTAAACGACGGTGGTTAGCAATTTAAGAGTGAGTCCTAGGTAAGCGTGTGTTTAACAGAAATGCAAGACAGAAAAGGAGTATGAATGAAGGGATATTATAACAGTTTATTTTTCCCTCTTCTTCCAACTGGGTATTCCAAACGGACCGATTAAATAATCGTGTTTCATAAGTTTCATAATCCAGAAAACACGAGGAAAGAGAGCAGATGAAAGCAACAGTGAGATCAGTAGCTTTGGACGTATTACTGTCAAAGACATGTAGGCACAGTTTACTCCAATTTTAAGATGAATCTGAAATCCAGATTCTCTTACTGATGCCTCCTTTACTTGTAATTTAACCGGTTAACTATCCGGGGTGAAATCTCTTTCACCCCTTCATTTCCCTTGGCGAGGAGGTCCTCCAGCCTCCCTCACGGAGGCCTCAGAGGGCGTGGCCGATACGCCACCTTACGAAAGCTCAGTGGGCAAGCCTGGCTGAAATACCTGAACTTCCAAATCTGGTCCCTGAACATCTCCTTATGTCCTCTCTAGGGAGCCTTTACTTAGATACTCAGCATTACCTTTAATATAAAATGTCTACACTAAGTCAGGTCTTCCATCCGTCATAACGAATCTCCCGTTCAACGTTAACTGAATCACCACACTTCTAGGCCCACAGCCTGAGAACACTGAAAAAATTTGATTTCCTCTTTGTTCCCCAGAACCAATATGCAAGTTTTGTGGATTCTTCCTTTCTAATAGTTTTTAATGAACCCACCACTTTGTACCTGCATGTTCACTATCAGGGTCCCCAGCATCCTTTTATCACAGGCCTGCATGATTCTTAAAACGCCTTCTCTGACCTCACTGCTGTTCTCACTGTCCTGCTTCCAGCATCACTTTCATCAGGTTTCTTAATGTATTAAACACTTGGGCCTAATATCTGACCAGTTACAATTTTCTATCTACTCCTTCCTCAGTGTCTTCCAAGGACTGTGTGTCACTGAGACATGACTTGTTTTCACTTAGTTTTATGCCACACGCTCTACCTGAAAGGCCTGAGCTTTCTCCTCACCGGCTGCTAACTTCTCTCTGTTCAGCATTCCCTTCCAGCACTTTCACAGTTTAGATTAATAGGCATCTGCTCTGTGAAGGTCCTTCAATTCTTCTACATGGGTCTGCTTCCCCAACTATACTATGTTTATGGCTTATGTCTTTAAAGTTTTCTTTTAATGTTGTTTCTTGGTCTTTCAATTTGTTGCTTTGCTAATTTTTAAACTTTTTTTCTTCTTAATTGTGGTAAAATACACATAAAATTTACCATCTTAACCGCTTTTAAACCAAGACCAGGGACAGGAGGCTGTCACCTGAAGGGGGAGGTGGGCGTGCCCCCAGGACGGGGAAAGCGAGTGGTGCCAGGCCCCTGCCGCCCGCTGCCTTGCTGCGAAGTGCTCCCTGGGCTCCCAGTGGCCAGGTTACAGCCCAGGTCCCATCTGCTTAAGCACCATCCATTCTCCCTGAGCCAAGAGCTTGGCCACAGGGGCCACGCTGGCCAGTGGCACAAGGTTCCAAATGCTGCTTCCCAAGCTGGCTGACCAGAGGCTGCAGCTAGGATTCCCTGCCAGCGGTCTGCGGGTCCCCAGGGACCTGAAACAGATTTTCCAG